GAAAAAAGCCTAAATATGGCCCTTTGGCTGGGGGCGCAAAAAAATTTTTTTTTATTTCTGCATTTCTGGGGCAAGTGAGGGGCGCGGTGGCATTAGGCGGGCTAGAGAATACAGAATCAACGTTCACCGGGCGGAAAAATTCGATTTTGGCGAAAGTCGACTTTCCCCCCGAAAAAAGCCTAAATATGGCCCTTTGGCTGGGGGCGCAAAAAAATTTTTTTTTATTTCTGCATTTCTGGGGCAAGTGAGGGGCGCGGTGGCATTAGGCGGGCTAGAGAATACAGAATCAACGTTCACCGGGCGGAAAAATTCGATTTTGGCGAAAGTCGACTTTCCCCCCGAAAAAAGCCTAAATATGGCCCTTTGGCTGGGGGCGCAAAAAAATTTTTTTTTATTTCTGCATTTCTGGGGCAAGTGAGGGGCGCGGTGGCATTAGGCGGGCTAGAGAATACAGAATCAACGTTCACCGGGCGGAAAAATTCGATTTTGGCGAAAGTCGACTTTCCCCCCGAAAAAAGCCTAAATATGGCCCTTTGGCTGGGGGCGCAAAAAAATTTTTTTTTATTTCTGCATTTCTGGGGCAAGTGAGGGGCGCGGTGGCATTAGGCGGGCTAGAGAATACAGAATCAACGTTCACCGGGCGGAAAAATTCGATTTTGGCGAAAGTCGACTTTCCCCCCGAAAAAAGCCTAAATATGGCCCTTTGGCTGGGGGCGCAAAAAAATTTTTTTTTATTTCTGCATTTCTGGGGCAAGTGAGGGGCGCGGTGGCATTAGGCGGGCTAGAGAATACAGAATCAACGTTCACCGGGCGGAAAAATTCGATTTTGGCGAAAGTCGACTTTCCCCCCGAAAAAAGCCTAAATATGGCCCTTTGGCTGGGGGCGCAAAAAAATTTTTTTTTATTTCTGCATTTCTGGGGCAAGTGAGGGGCGCGGTGGCATTAGGCGGGCTAGAGAATACAGAATCAACGTTCACCGGGCGGAAAAATTCGATTTTGGCGAAAGTCGACTTTCCCCCCGAAAAAAGCCTAAATATGGCCCTTTGGCTGGGGGCGCAAAAAAATTTTTTTTTATTTCTGCATTTCTGGGGCAAGTGAGGGGCGCGGTGGCATTAGGCGGGCTAGAGAATACAGAATCAACGTTCACCGGGCGGAAAAATTCGATTTTGGCGAAAGTCGACTTTCCCCCCGAAAAAAGCCTAAATATGGCCCTTTGGCTGGGGGCGCAAAAAAATTTTTTTTTATTTCTGCATTTCTGGGGCAAGTGAGGGGCGCGGTGGCATTAGGCGGGCTAGAGAATACAGAATCAACGTTCACCGGGCGGAAAAATTCGATTTTGGCGAAAGTCGACTTTCCCCCCGAAAAAAGCCTAAATATGGCCCTTTGGCTGGGGGCGCAAAAAAATTTTTTTTTATTTCTGCATTTCTGGGGCAAGTGAGGGGCGCGGTGGCATTAGGCGGGCTAGAGAATACAGAATCAACGTTCACCGGGCGGAAAAATTCGATTTTGGCGAAAGTCGACTTTCCCCCCGAAAAAAGCCTAAATATGGCACTTTGGCTTGGGGTGGAAAAAAAAATATTTTTATTTCTGCATTTCTGGGGTAAGTGAGGGGCGCAGTGACATTAGGCGGGCCAGAAAATACAGAATCAACGTTCACCGGGCGGAAAAATTCGATTTTGGCGAAAGTCGACTTTCCCCCCGAAAAAAGCCTGAATATGGCCCTTTGGCTTCGGGTGAAAAAAACAATTTTTTTATTTCTGTATTTCTGGGGTAAGTGAGGGTCTCAGTGGCATTAGGNAATGTTTTTTCATTTCTGCATTTCTGGGGCAAGTGAGGGGCGCGGTGGCATTAGGCGGGCCAGAAAATACAGAATCGACGTTCACCGGGCGGAAAAATTCGATTTTGGCGAAAGTCGACTTTCCCCCCGAAAAAAGCCTAAATATGGCACTTTGGCTCTGGGTGCAAAAAAACAAATTTTTTATTTCTGTATTTCTGGGGTAAGTGAGGGTCTCAGTGGCATTAGGCGGGCCAGAAAATACAGAATCGCCGTTCACCCGGCGGAAAAATTCGATTATGGCGAAAGTCGACTTTCCCCCCGAAAAAAGCCTAAATATGGCACTTTGGCTGCGGGTGAAAAAAAAATTTTTTTATTTCTGCATTTCTGGGGCAAGGGAGGGGCGCAGTGGCATTAGGCGGACCAGAAAATACAGAATTAACGTTCCCCCGGCGGAAAAATTCGATTATGGCGAAAGTCGACTTTCCCCCCGAAAAAAGCCTAAATATGGCACTTTGGCTGCGGGTGAAAAAAAAATTTTTTTATTTCTGCATTTCTGGGGCAAGGGAGGGGCGCAGTGGCATTAGGCGGACCAGAAAATACAGAATTAACGTTCACCCGGCGGAAAAATTCGATTTTGGCAAAAGTCGACTTTCCCCCCAAAAAAAGCCTGAATATGGCACTTTGGCTGCGGGTGAAAAAAAAATTTTTTTATTTCTGCATTTCTGGGGCAAGTGAGGGTCTCAGTGGCATTAGGCGGGCCAGAAAATACAGAATCAGCGTTCACCCGGCGGAAAAATTCGATTTTGGCGAAAGTCGACTTTCCCCCCGAAAAAACTCTGAATATGGCACTTTGGCTTCGGGTGAAAAAAATTTTTTTTCATTTCTGCATTTCTGGGGCAAGGGAGGGGCGCAGTGGCATTAGGCGGACCAGAAAATACAGAATTAACGTTCACTCGGCGGAAAAATTCGATTTTGGCGAAAGTCGACTTTCCCCCCGAAAAAAGCCTAAATATGGCACTTTGGCTGCGGGTAAAAAAATTTTTTTTTTATTTCTGCATTTCTGGGGCAAGGGAGGGGCGCAGTGGCATTAGGCGGACCAGAAAATACAGAATTAACGTTCACCCGGCGGAAAAATTCGATTTTGGCGAAAGTCGACTTTCCCCCCGAAAAAAGCCTGAATATGGCACTTTGGCTGCGGGTGAAAAAAAAAGAAAATATATTTTCAAGTGTAAAAAAAGATTGATATATTGGAAGCGCAGAGCTAGAAAACACATGGTTCTTGGGTAATAATCGAGTTGGAGGGTTGAAATTTTACCTAGGGTCATACTGAATAAGGTACTAAAACTTATTACAAAATAAGAAAAAAATTGAAAATTTGGCGCCAAATAACTGAATGGTTTTCTGTAGAAAAGCCCATATACCAAACGCATAAGCAGAGCTAAAATGATGAAAAATCAGAAGACAAATATTTTTTGAATAGAAATAAATAAACGGAGAGAATGGCGAAAAGTCTCCGAGACTTGATGAATAAATAAGACAACTCGATTCGATCAATTACACTCAATAAGTTATTGAGTTACGATGTATTGTCCATGATAATCATTGATCTGTGAAGTTAGACAGACTCCAATGACTACAATGATTTGTCGCAGTCCGTTGATTTTAACTTTATAATAACGCATTCCGTAAGTGTGTAAAGAATAACATTGATGACCATTCAACATTGCAATTTACCAGGTGGGAGACGAGAGAAGGGGATACGAGTGACTCGACTGTACTGCAAAATTCTTACCCACGCAATCTATTTTCAAAGTGCCACCTCTATATTACCCATCACCCGTGCTCTCCTTGCTTTTCACGTTATTTTCAAATGTCTCATTTCAAGTTGAAGTCATAAACAAAAAAAACATGTACATACTTCATTTTTCAACCCAAAAATTTATTCCTCTCATTTATGATCCATATATCTGGAAATGGATAGCATGAGTCGATAAAAATAATTTCATCAAATTGCTGGGGAAATGTTTCATGGGTATCATACGAAGGCGAGCCATTGTGCCCCACAAGTTCATAAGTGGGAGTGACAAGTTCGCAAGTAGTATTTCAAATCGAAAAGTTTCTTGACTGTGTACTGAATTAGGTTTCATTAAGTTACTCCCCACCCATGTTCTTGAAATCCAGAATATCAATTCACTCCATGTTTATAAACGAAATTTTGTTTTGTTCGTAATTGCTATATTTGGAGCTGTACAAGCCGGAGGTTAATGAAAATTATTCAATTAAATAACCGGTAAAATCTCCGATGATGAATACAATACGAAAAACTTTTGTCAACAGTTTATCACAGCAGTCTAGGAGTTAGGGGTGAAAAACACTCTAGATAGCTCGAATGATCTTGTTCATATCGTCGTAGATAACGGCCAAGATTGGACTTAGTAAAGGGCTTTTTGAATCGCAATTTTTCCAATTTATGCCCCTTCTCCTCCTACGGAGCTCTGAAAAAACTGGGTACCTCTCACCACGAACCAAAAATTTGTGATTAGATTCTAGAGATAAATCCCTATCTTCGCGAATCTTATCAATGAACATTGATAACAATAAACCTACAATAAAAGTTCTCAAATTCCTAGAAAGAAAAATGGAACAGGCAACAGTAGAGCAAAACTTCAACTAAAACACTGATAAAGTATAATTTGTCAACAAATTGATGGATAAACATTACAAGAAATTTCATGCAAATCGTCTTGTAAATATTTTTACCAAGAGTTGAATCATGAAAAATACTAAGGGACCTTTTTCATGGGCCATAAAATTCTCCACTAAAAAGGTCTTTTGGGAGGTTTTTCTTATAGCATCCCGATCGCCAAAACGATCTCAAAATTGACGAAAATTTACATGAAAAATTAAATATTTATCAATTATGTAGAACTCACAGTAATGATAACTTTTACGAAAAAGATGTCGAAGGATCGTTTTTGTAGTTGCCAAAATTTTCTACAAAAATATCTTTTCGATATGTTTTTCTAAAATAATCCACTGTGAATGCGTTTTCGCAGGTGAAATGCCTTTCAACAATCACCTAAATTCCCCATTGTACAAAGAAAAATGAAGAAACTTTTTTTGCAGTGCGAAAAAATCATCACAAAGCTTCTTCACTGCTCCAGAATACCTGCCAAGTCTATCTTTCCACTGTGCTATTCCTCTGAAATCCACAAAAACTAACCTTATAAACCTCAGAAAAGAATCCAGCTCCAATTTTCTCCATATAAAAATCATCCAATCGATTCAACGACGCCACAGCGTGTCTTAGTGCCTGACAAGAAGCACCGGTCCTCCTTTTGCTGCCGTCACCCTCTCCAACACTCTTCTCCACACACCCCATGGATCCTTCAAGCTCTGTAGGCCTCCAAGGATCACTAGTTCTCTCCCTATCCTTGTAACACCTCTGGGAAGACTGTAATTCAGTCGGCATTTCCGAGTGTGTCAATAGATAATTACTAACACATTCTCTTGCTTCCTCACCCACTCTTCCCCGTAGTTTGTCCTCATCAACCCCTCGACCCCTCCCATCCCTCGTTATGAAATCATTCAATGCACATTGTCCACAATTGGAATTCTTAAAATTCCGTCCCTTGTGATCTTTCTTCGTGTCAGCCAAATAATTTACCACCAAATCACATGGATTCAATTCCCTCTCCTCCTCACCACACTTATCATTCACACCATCACTTGATTTTATTGTCAATGCCGATCTCCGATTTGGCACAGTATTTTTAACAATTAATTTATTCTTAATTCCATCGTTCGATGATTGTCTACTTAAAATGGAAGCACTAGGTGTTGAACTATTTTCTGTCACTATTTCCGTTGTTTTATTATTAATCATTCGGCAATTTGAGTTAGAAGAGCATTTCTGGAGAGCAGAGATTATAACCGGAGGTGATTTTGGCACTTGCTCGTTCAATTGGTTATGCTCGATGTGATGAACATTGTGGATGTCACTGGATTGCGGATTTTGGGTTTCGGGATTGGCTGGAGCCTCGGACACCACTGCTGGAGATTCTCGAGACCTCCAGGGTCTCGCTCTATCGTCTGGCGAGACTATTGTTAAATCATTTGTCTTGGAACATGGAGAACACGCACCGGGCAACTTTTTTGAAGGTTTTTCGGGGCTCTCCGGTGGGCCTGGTGTGTTTGAGGTACCTGACACGTTTGATAACATTGTTTGGAGTGGTTCGGTCAGTGCGGAATACTCGGTGAAGCCCAATCAGTGGTAAATCGCTTGGACTCTGTCATTTTCGATTTCTGATACTATTGCTTTTTTTTCTTGCGGAACAAAACAATTTTTTCTTGCTTTATCTACTTTCTTCTACTTAATAAATTAGTTTATGATGTTTGAGATTTCGACGAGTCATTTATGTAGATGTCACATGAGTGACTTTGTTTATCGGTTTTGGAGTATTGATAATGTATGTTGGGACTCTTCTACAGAGTTAATTACACTTTATTCACTTTGACCCATTTTTAGGAGTCTGGTTGTATGATAACACTTTCACAAGTCTGTCATCGATGTTGTTTGTTTATGGAATTCATTTTTAGGTGGAAATGAGCGTTCTTGATGCATAAACAGTGGAAGACATTGAAAGTAACACTGAGACGTCAAATCAAAATAATCCTGAGATTTTTTTTTATTTTCATGAATATCACTACGATTTTCTTTACACTTTGGAGGGTGAAAAAGTTTTTAGAATTTGGTTAGTTGCTATTAATGAGGAAGGATGACTCTGTGATAATTGTGATCGTAAACGACGGTTTCATCGACAACGCTTGACGGCGGCCATTACAATAGTGCGATATCATGAGATGTAGAAATGCGACGTCTGGCGAGTAAGGGAGCAAACTCCATCCTATTCCCACCTCACGGATCTCTACCGCGATTCGGAATTCTGTGTTTACAAGTTTACCTATTTTATAATTTTGTGCTAAGATAAATTCGGTGCAGTTTTGGCGGAAGTGAATGTTTTAGTTGTTGAATGATATGGGTACAGTGCGGTGATGGAGGGCAATTGAAAGGGAACTTTTGAGGGAGGAATTTACTTGATGAATTTAATTCATGTGTGGTTAAGTTAAAGTAGTGAATAACCTCCAGTTGAGCACGTATGAAAAAATCCCTAAAAAACAAGAACAAATGTTTTCATCACGCTGTGACGAAAAGTGAACTTTTCGGCACGCTCCGCGTGCCTAAAAGTCCAATTTCCGCCACATTGTGATGAAAAATATTGTTCGTAACTCGTGAAAAAATGTTTTTTACACTCGTTACGAAATATACTATTTCATGGTGCAGTTTTTTTTTACAAAATAGTATATTTCGTAACGAGTGCAAAAAAGTGTTTTTATCACGAGTGTTTTTATCGGGAGGTTTATATCACGAGCCGAAAGCGAGTGATATAATCCCACGAGCTAAAAAACATTTTTTCACGAGTTACGAACAATATTTTTCATCACAATGTGGCGGAAATTGGACTTTTAGGCACGCGGAGCGTGCCGAAAAGTTCACTTTTCGTCACAGCGTGATGAAAAAGTTTTGTTTGGTTTTTACTAAAAAGTTGAAATTTAAAAAAGTACAAATAAATGAAAAAAAAAGCCAAGTCACGAATGTCCAATAAATGGACATAGTGTGCAATTAGATTTCTGTAAAAAAATAGTTCTCAACAAAAAAACGATTTGACCGATGGCGGTGGCTGTGTGGTTAGAGTGTGGGATTGGCGTGCGGGAGACCCGGGTTCGATTTTCAATCCTTTTTCTATCAAGAGCTATATGTGTAGAGAATTCCAATAGACTTTTGTAGCGAAATCCCTAAGATTTTTAATTGAAATTAACCATACGTGAGTCGTTGGTGTAATGAGGAAAAATAAATTCAAAAAGGCAAAAAAAAATTACTCACCATTAATAATTTTTGCCTCGAATATTTTATTATGAGAAAAATGAAGAAAAAACGAACAATGAAATTCTTCAGATCGGCATATTTCATTCATTTTAGCATGAAAAAATGTAATAAAAATTGCAATGGATGGCTTATAGCAACATTATATAGTAAAAGTATAATTCAAAATGTGGTGTGATTTGAAATTTGTACGGAAAAAAATAAAATGGTTTTGGGGGTCGTGGAGGGAGAAGTTGGCTGGCATATATAACAGGCAGTCGCGCATTCGTTCCTGGCGACGGGACGCAACTGCGTCCCTTGATACATTAATTTTGTGTGGTTTTTTTGTCTTCAAATTATTTGGACACTCAGTTGTTTGGATGACTCAAAAACAGTCATATGTAGCTCTGTCGACTTGCCAAGCTGAGTGTGTCGCGATGAGCGAGGCAACTCAAGAAATATTATTAATTTACAACCCTTTGAGATTGATTGTAATCTCCGCTCCCTATGTTACTCTGGCGTGATAACAAAGGCGCGATAATTAATGCAGAGACGAGTGGAGGAAATAAATTGAGACATATCATAGATATTGAATCTCATCACATTAAAGAGTGTATGAAAAAAGGTCTGATTGAATTTAGATGAATTTGCTCAAAAGATGAAATTGCTGACGTGTTTACTAAACCTCTCGCTTTTGGCCTACACAAGAATTTAACTGATTAAATAATTAATACGAATAAATGATTGCAATCTGAATTATTTTCTTCTCTCTAATTTAGGCACTAATTAAAAGTAAAGAAAATCTGAGAGAGAAAAGGGAAGATGAAACTGTTACAATATTTTAATAAACTAAAGAAGAGATGAGATGAAATCGATGAAATAAACGATGAGAAGTATATTGAGACGAGACATTCAAATGAGAACAATAGACGTTAAAATGGGAAGAGGATAACACCAGCAGTCGGGATGGAGTGTTGTAAAAGCAGAACGTCTGCTTCTGTTCTCTTACCGACCTCCATAGTTCCTGGTTTCTACATCATGTGGCGATCTATTATAGTTCGTTCGTCCGCTGAGCGTCTATCGAGTATACTAATAAACACCAATAAAGTTTTGTCTAATTTAATCATGTTTTCTGCTGTTTTATTATTATCAATCTGCTTGAAACCCTTCAATATTACATGAAAACACATATAATTACTTCTCACATTATTCTATTATTTACTAATCGTAGAAAGACATTCTTTTCAATTACTTAATAAAAAGTTACACCACAAAATAGTATATTTCGTTACGGTGCGGAAAAGAGTTTTCTCGACTCGCCTTCGGCTCGTGCTATAAACCTCCCACGAGCCAAAAAACACTTTTCCCACGAGTATCGAATAATATTTTTCATCACAATGTGTGGAAAAGGGACGTTTCCACACATTGGAAACGCTTCGCGTGCCTAAAAAGTTACTTTTTCGCACAGCGTGATGAAAAAAATTATTTTCAAACAGGTTCCTAGCCTCTCGCTTCCAACCCCACTCCTACAGCTTTTTCTAGGTGGCGTCTCCCGCTTTTTTTAAAGGACCTCGTAATGCTGATTGAACCTACTCATCTCAGATGATGGGTAAATAGAAGTACTGAATATTGAGGCTGATAGAGCTGCTGGTGCATCGGCATGACCACAGTTTTCTTCGTAATCTACCGTTGATCATACTAATCTACAAAATCCTTCTTTCAACTCAATTGGAATTTCCTTGAGGTCAATCAAAAAGTTCTTTCTGCAGTTCTCCCACCTTGAAAGAATAATCAAAAATTTTATCATAATTTTGTTCATACTTTTTAATTAACACTCCGTTGGTCGCACAAAAATTACGAACGCTATTGGTCGTACCAGCATATATCGACATAATGATAAATTTGAAGGATCCGAAAAAAATCAAGAGTGATTTAGATCGTATACTTGAAGAAGTCCTCTTAGATTTGTCATGTTCAGTGTCACCCTTAATTACATGTTGAAGCTCAAAGTTGCCATGTTTTTCTAAAAATTCGTCTTATACACAGTAGACGGCCGGAGTTGTGGAATAAAAATTAGAAAATGTAACTACTTATGATATTTTTAGCGAATATTCTCATTGTTTCTAGACACTTCAAAATGAGATGTCATATTTGTTCATATTTTTCTGAGGCTTTACTGTAGTGTAATTTAAATAATAGGAAAAAGTGCGGCGCGGAACTCATAGGGCGACTAACGGAGTATCAATTGAACTTCTTTTACGTATAAAACAATTTTTTGAAGAGATAATTCCTTTCGTTGTCCAACCAGTTTGTTGTTTTTACGACTGATTAACTTCCACCATTGAGAATAATTTCAGTACGTGTTTTGATGAATATATTTGTAACTTTGCATACCTGTTGCCTTTTTGATCCTCGATAGCCAATTTATCGATCAATAAAGTGGATATTTGGGGTCGCCGAGTGGTCACAACATCCTGTTCTGCAGCAACGGACTGATACCACATCAGACCATTAATTATCTTTGTATCTTCAATGATTGATCTGAACTTCGATGTTGAAATGGCGCGAAATGTCGTTGACTCGGTATTCCTATCATGAAGACTTGGAACAGAAAATGATCGTCCAATTATTGAATTATTATTTAATTTAAAAGCATTGGAGAATGGATTATGAAATAAGTCAACAAGAAATTTTCAGATTATTTTCCGAACATCAAAATAAAAGGTAAAGAACGTGTGATAAACATATTGGATCCTCCTCTAAGTGTGAATATGTTTGAATGGGTGGAAGGAGCATGTCGTGATTTATCGACCAATATAACCGCGTTATGTAATGCACACGATCACGTTGGATTTTCGATAAATTTCGATAGATTAAATCGCAGTCCTGTTTGGTCAAGATTTCGCGATGCATTGTAGTTTTGATGATGTGCGGACCATCATCAAAGGTATTTCACAAAGTACAGGTGGACTACAGACTTACAGACTTATTCAACATGATTTCCTAGTAGAATTAGGAAATCGAAAAGTAGAACGATGTCAATGCTTCAATTCGCAAGGAAATGGGCGTAATTAAATCCACTACAGTAAAATGACTCACTTTATAGCAATTTTGAAAATTGTTGTGGCATTTGTATTCTCGATTTTTAAATAAAGACTTCCTTCAGTTTTCGGGGCACCTGCTGAGGTTGTCACAGTCGCTCTGAGCGGATCCCCTTGAAAAGTATAAACATTAATAATAGAAAAGTCTCAGACACTCCTTTCCTGAAGACATCATCTTGAGAATAAATAATTTGAATAAAGTTCAGTTTCTTCTATTCAAGAAATGAAATTGACTTGGTTACCGCAAAATAAATCTTCAGCCCTGGTTGCTAGGTAATAAATCCCTCTAGAGCCTTGCTTAGAGCCGTACCCCATTTCCTGCCTGTCAGTAGAATTGTCCATCGGAAAACAAGTACCACTCAAGAAAGCATTGGCCCCTTGGGTACACGGCCAAGCGATGAACTTGCATTCACTCAATTGGCTCTGGACACTCTCCACAAATAATTGCCATGCTCTAAGATGACTACAGGCGATCGCCCTGTCCAAAAGATCCTCTGGAGTTATGAACAGAAAATAAATGACAAACCCCGACGCCCTCCGTTTCTATATATTTTTTATATATTTCATGAAAATTTTGGTAACAAGTGACACATACGGCGTCGGAAATAGTATATTATCGAACGCCGAAGAAATTCTTGATTCAAACGTTACAATTAAATTCATTCCACGTTAATATTCTCGCGACAGGAACAATTCAATTATCATCATCGCGGAATTTCTTGTCCAGATATTATAAAATTTAGAGCAATAAAATGGTGGCTACTGAAGTGTTTTCAATAGTGAATTTCCCTTGGTAATCATAGATACTAATCTTTCTCGAGATATCTCTAAAAAACATGAGGAATTGAAGTGCGTGAAAATTTAAACTGAAAAAAATTCTTAAAATTACCATGGAAATGGCTGTAAATAATGGAATTCTTCACATCAGTGCACCCAGGCTGCTCCCGGCCACCATTTGGAAAGAAATCAACATGCCCAATGGGTCGTAAAAGTCCGAACCCATCTGTAAACACTTCTGAGCCATCAGTATGTATGATATCAACGAAGCGTGCATCAGAGACATCCAGTTTTCTTGATTTCTGTCTAAGTATATGATGACGGAAAAATGGTGATGCTGGATCAAGGCCCGTTATCCGACCTATTAACAGTTTCTTTTCTTTTAACACTTCTGATGCACATCCAGCAACGTGTGCACCGAGACTGAAACCCACGACATGGATGTCATTGGGATTTATACCTAGATTGATAGCATCTAGGAGAATGAGTGCTAGTTGACGTCCAACTAGCTCAGTGTTTGCTACTGCTGTTTGATAACTAGTACCTGCCCCTCTGGTCCAGTCCAGGATTATGACATTAAGGTCTTCCTAAGGGGATTATGGATGTATAAATTAGATTTGTGTTTTCAAAGGAGTGAGGAAAGAATTTGAGAGGAGGTCGATATCAGTGGCGATCGAAAAAATCACTAGAAAATCTACGGAGAAAAAAATGTTTACTTTTTTTTGAGGAAAAAAATTGTAATTTTCAGTAATTTTTACAAAACGACGACAACCAGAGGAGGAATATATGCATTTGACAATGTCCGGTTCTATTCCCGCAGACGTCTAAAGTACCCTAACTCCCCTCTAACTCACCCTAAGTGCCCAGAAATCAATAAAAAACAGGTGTTCTTGCACTTGGACAAGCAGGGGTTCAAGCCTATGCGACAGAAGACATGTACCGTGTCTTTTTGCGTTATTAGTCATTCCATTTTTTTATTTCTGCAAATTCCATTGGTAGTAAGCTTCCGAATGGACCCGTAGCAATTTTCTGTTCTTGTGACAGGCACACAACCGTAACCATATGCTACCGGGTGTTTACAGCAAGATAAATATCTTGCTATCTTGAAGCGTTCCACATTTTTCATTAAAGGAGGGAATTTATATGGCGTTCCACATCTTTGTGACGTCATTGGAAATTAGTTGGATAGAATTTGGATGAGGTAGGAGGGGATCCGGGATTATTCTCAATATGAATTAACAAGAAATATTTACTGAAAAAAATGGATGGTCCAGACCGGGATATGAACCCGGGACCTTCCGATTATGCATCGGGTGCTCTCCCAACTGAGCTATCCGGCTCCTAGCCATTTCTTTATTTCAAATTTCTTGTACATATTGAGCTCCGCCGTCCTTCATACGGCATTCATTTTTCATTAATAACCTTTTAACCTGTCAGTAAACGCGCTCTTTGTAGTATCTCAGTGGCAGGAATTTTGTTGCTCCGTGAAAATCTTTTTTTTGTCAGTGTTAAACAGAACTATTCACCTCGTCTACCTATCCCAAGTGTTTATTCTGTTTGACACTTGTAACTCTCCTGGCCCTTGTAATTACTCGAAAATTTTACTCAATACCTCAAATTTTTCAATTCTACCGCACGCGGTACCATGCCTTCTGGAACTACGAGTTTCAGAAACCATGGTTTCATTTCTCAAACTCAGTAATATTATCTTTGAAACTAGATGCTTTCTTTCTTTATGAAAAATTCTTTTATGTCGCGCCGTGCAATAAGTCGAGTTTTGACATCAAATATTATAGAGCACTCGGTAATAAATTTCGTTTTCAACGAATGTGTGTACAGACCTCGCCTTCGGCTCGGCCTGTAAACTACACATTCGTTGAAAACGAAATTTGTGCCCTTGTACTCTAATGTACTATTAATTATGAAGAAAGCTTTCTGACGACGGTTCTTCAAACTGTGCATTTTATAGCTGATCCTCAAAGTAGAATGAGTATTATAATTCATTGTTTACCAAGTTCAGGAGAGAATTTGCACCCCGGATGCCACCAACATCACTGCCACTGCCTTTGAATCCATGGACAATAACTTTTACGGCCCTTGTTGCATTAAAATGTGACTTTGTAATGGATTTGGCCTCGTCATCGTAGTACAAGACTTCCGGTTCCTCGTGTTTCTCACGAGTTTCTCTGGTGTAGAGTAAAAATTTTGTTTGGATTACACTAGGATCCTCGGGACGACGCTTCAAAGAAATGCTGGGACGCTGGGGGTCGGCGAAGCAGCCCACTAAATCTTTCAACCCAAATATTGTTAAAAATGAAATCACCCAATTGTACCCTTAATTATTTGAACATCACTAGGAATTTGTACAGTTTGCTGATGTTGTGAGGACACTGGAATTAAATGTATAGTATAATTGGTACTTGTTTATTTCTAAATTGAACTGTTAGCAATGATTTTTTTGTATAAGCTGACAAAGCATCGCATGGAGATAATGCGATAATCCCGGTGGCTTGGCGCAGTGGGTAAGTTCGTTGCCTCACATGCGAAAGGTTCCGAATTCAAATCCCGGCCGGGTAGAATGGTGCGATCTAACCGTTTAAAGTCTTGATCATCATCGCAGTATACCCTAACCGGATCGAAGCGATGTGAAATAACGATAAAAAAAAGATAATGTGATAAGGATCCACCCGCCTTAGTGCGCCCAGTCCAAGCGCAGTATTCGAGGTCATGTGACCCTTTCATGTCGGTTTTATTTTGACATTTTTCTCAATTCTAATTTTGACCAATCAGAGTGTAGTATTCGGGGTCACGTGACACGTTTCACACTGTTAAGTTCCCCGGCTGCAGGGAAATTATTGGACTGAGAATTTTCCGGGACTGGATTTTAGCCAATCGCAGCACAGTATTCGAGGACACGATACTCTTTTGTTATCAAATTTTTTCGGAAATTGCACACTAGCTTCTGAAAATTGCATCTGATAATCGTCATCGTGCTGCGCACTCGGGATTTTTATCTGTCGGGAGAATGCATTTATGCATCTCCACTTGAGAGCGGAAAAAGTGAGTTCCTCCGTCAAGTGGGATATGTCGGATTCGGATCTATGATCAATACCGACTAAACTCCAGACCTATTTCTTCTTACCCCATATTTTCCAGGGATCACTTCATGGGGGAGAGAATCTAGCTCAGGGATGGGCAAAGTCCAGGTAGCTCGGAGTAACCTCATAAATATGCATTAGGAACCCCATAAAGTTTATGGCCCTTCCAAGGGGTCTTAGTACGGTGATAGGGTTGCAGGGGGACCGCAGAGTAAATCTTTAAAACTTTGGGTGAACGGGTATAGATATTTTGATTGATTTGGATAGATGCCGCCGACACAAATATTTTGAAAGAAGACAAATTGAAATAAATACAGTAGTTTCTGGGATATTGAGGAAAAATGAAATTTAAACAAGTTGTTACATCTCCGGAACTACTGGACCGCTCGGATTAAAACTGCGCGCCAAAGTTAAACTTAATCGTACCGATCATATGCCAAAATTTTATATTTTTATCGATAAATTTCACTGCAGTTACGCCGCCTTTTCCAAAAATGAATCATTCAAAATCGAAATTGTTACACTCATTCATTCAGACATATTGTGAAAAACCCAGTTTCTTGACGTTTCATCACATTCTACATCATTTCCGAGCAAAATTTGAAAATGGAAAAATCCAACAACATACAAAGCTTTCATTCGGAAGCAAAAAAAAAATAATAATATGGGTTCAAGGGTGCCTAAGATATTTTCACAAAACCATCTTTCTGAATTTCTCATATGTCAGGAATCGCTCTATGAGTATAATAATTTTGTTGTTATTTTAACTTCGGTGGATTACTTACCGAAACATACTTTCGGTTTAAACTCTTGCCTGGGTTTCAGAATTTTTCCACTCTTCCAGTTCATGAATCTCCCTACAAAAGTATCACATAGAGTCATAATTTTTTAAGCCAAAAATTTTCCAGTTTGACTTACCATTTGAGAAATGAATCCCATTTACAACATCGGTCGTAAGAATAATTAGTAATAATAGAACGTGAAAAATTACATTCATCATGTTGAATAGTCCAGGACGCTGAAACTTTTATACATCTCCGTGTTTTCAACAATATTTTCTCCAATATCTCACCTCAAGTACTCAATTAATTCGGACCTAATTGCAAATACACTGACACATCCTTTCAATAGTTTTATTGTACTGCAACTGGTTGTTTCGGTGACAGTTGCAACGTCTTTATACGTACCGTTACAAAATGTACCCGCAGCTGACCATGCTTCTCCATTCTTATGCAATCGTATGTGTATCCATGCATATGTAGAGAAAATTAAAAAAAAACGCTCAGCTGAGGTTTGACTTTCGATAAAATTGCAATGAATCGTCTTCTGGATTTCCATAATAATCAATGAAATGCTTTCTACAATAGAAAAAGGATAATCGTGGGTTAATAATATCGATTTCTAATTCTGAAATGTTGGCGATTATCACAGCATACTAACGAAAAATGTGAAGAATTAAAAAAACTCTGATTATTCACAAAATTTGTCGAAGTTTTTCATCATTTTTCCAATTGCTTTAACACGGAATTTGAATACGTTTTCTCTTAGTATGTCTTTTTACTAGTGATGTAAGTTTTCGAATGATAATTCGAAGTGATTACTTCGACTACAGAGTCAGCGGCCTCTATTATATACCTTTCACCGATGTTCCACACACAAATTAACCCTACTATAGAGTAATACATTGCATTCACGTAATATTACTATTATAGGTGTCTTCTGTGTACATGAAATATGGAAATGTAGCTAACATTTATTTAGTTGAACGGCAGGAGACGAGTTATAGATTTTAAGCAAGATGAATGAGTAATTTATCTTAATGCCGCATTGACTTACTCTCATTCTAGCTCGATAGATGGTGGCGTACTTTGAGTGTTTCTGTTCTGGATCACTTCGGAGTTCAAACTACGGAAAAACCGGGTATACCAGTTTTCAGGTGGAGTTACCTAATTGAGTAGAGGGAATTCGCGTTTTGGCGACGGTCACGAGAGTTTCAGTTTAATGAGCGAGATATTGCAATGAGAAAAATGAAATCGACACATAGTATATATAAACTGTAGAAATTCTGATGTCTCCGTGATTTTACTCTGCTGTTCTTCCTCATACCGATTTGTTATTATCGAGATATGATCCAGGTTCTCCTGCATAGAGAAACGAGCAGGGGTTCGACCCTGTCGGACAGAAGGCATGTGACTGGTCCCTTTTGCATTATTAATCTTTCTTTCTACCAATTCCGTTCGTAGAAATCTCCCGAATTGATTCGTAGTAAATCCCTGTTTATTTGATAGACATACAATCGTAACCACATGCACGGAGAGAAATATTCAATAAAAATTACGTATCTTTTCCGTAATTCCGGAGCGAAATGTGGTTGTAGGAAATTTGACGGAACTGTCACGGAATTTTTCCGGAGCGTTCCTTAATTTTTATCTGAATCTCTTATGAAAAATTACGATACCGTCACTTAAATTTTCTGAGTCGATTCCGTAATCGGTGAGTGAAGTGAGAGTTCTGCAATTTTTACTGAACATTTCTCTCCGTGCATGCTACTTCGTTTTTGCTTCCGAGTGGAACGCGTGTATTTCATCGATTTTTCAATTTCCTAATTTTGATTGCAAATGGTCTAGAATGTTATGAAACGCCAAAAAATTATGTATGTGACAGTTTAGGTTTTTGGTGATTAATTGGTAGAAAATTCGTCATAAATACGGTGAAATTTGCGTAGAAATGCAATCTGAAAAAAATTGTTATCGGTAAATAGATCATCCAGCGCGCGCCAAATGACCTACGCCTAAAATAACCGACTGTCGACCTGAAATTTCCAGCTTTACCCACCTCCACTCCTAGGCCGATCAGCTCCCTTTCCTTTATTGAGTGATCCATACGGAACGATAAGCAGAAAAATTTCATAATTTTACTCATCATTTGAAGAATGAAAGAATCTGAAATTAAAATTTGAAGTTCACAACCTAAAAAACAGATGGAAAAATAGTGAATAAAAAAAGACAAAAATGGAAGGAAAAATTGGAGGGGAGTAATTCAGTAGTAGAAAATTTGCGTATGGGGGCGGTCAATGGTTCACGGTTACTCGAGCATCAATGAAAGGGGATGAAGGGAGGATTTAAAACATAGAAGGTGGTGAAGGAGAAACAAGAAGATATATGGACTCTTGCCAAGAGAAAAATCGTTTGATGCAAAGTTGGCGTGATAGATGGGAAAGGGAGTGCGCACGCATGTGCACTCATACATGAGTGTTGGGGATACGCATGGAGTCATAGTTATTTTCAAGTTGCTAGAAAATTATTTACTCTATTTTTTCCCGCCAGATTTTGGTGGCCGACGAGAAAAGTGAATGTTCCCCGTAGGCGCATATTAATGATTTTTAGAATTGGAGTTGAAGAGTCCGGGGGCGGGGTGAAAGATATGAAAAATTTTTCAACACGTTTTTATTTTCTAATATAAATTTTTGAACTTCAACTAGTTGTTACTGACACTGATTTCTATTCCCTCAAAGTTGAAAAATACTTCCAAGGACACGCCGCTATATTTTTTTCTTTATTTTCTATGATTTTCCTGCAATTCATACTTATTAATTGCTCGTAAGTGGTTGTAATGATGTATAGTATATTTATTAAGATTCTCCTGGGATATACAAGTGACCTCGATGTCAATACAGTCAAAAATTGATTGAAAAAAAACTAACATTAGAGAGGGATTTTGGCATAATGTTGTTTTTGAATAAAAAAATTGAATCCAAAATAAAGATGTGGCAACTCAGTACAGAAATAAACTTTTGCTAACTCTATGCTTCACTCTAAATTGAATTAGGGGAGGGTGGGGTAAAACGGACACTTTAGACTTTTTTAAAATTATTCATAACTCTGAAACAAATTGATCAATTGAGCTCAGTTTAGGCTCGTCCCAAAAGGAAAGAATTGTTCTTTGTATTGAAGAAAAAATTATTAAATTTTATCAACATTTCAACCCCTCATTAACATTTTAAAGAAAGCCAAACGTGTCCGTTTTACCCCAACCTCCCCTACAAATAATTAAAAAAATATAATCTTGAAAGAAACTTCTAACTTGAAAAATTTGAACAAATCGAATCTTGAAACCGCAAATGTTCTCCTCTACAGTCCATTATCACACCGCACTATACCACCGCGCCTTCCATCTCCTTACAACCCTCGATATAACCTCCACCTATTCTTGAGCCTGCGCCCTCATTTCCCGTCAAACATGTCCGCCCTCGGTCGTCGGTAGTTGAGGGATATACATCGCGCGCCTTTCGCTTACTCTTGACTATTAGCAAATTATTGAGTGTTTTTTCATCCAAGAAGCCCTTTCATTTTTATTTGGAACCGGCGTTGTGTTATCCAGTGATAATCGTGAGATATCCTATCATCAAATGTGTATAAATCCTTGTACATAATTTCGTTGTATTGCCAAAGGTGTAGAAAGAATTCAATCCAATCGATAGAGTGCGGAAATACGTTTGATAAGAGGCAGAGGAAAGATTAAATCGTTCGTCTTCATCCCTTTTTATTTCAGGTACGTCACAATACATAACATCATTTTTCATAATCATTAACTATTTGAGAGAAAATTATATAAATTTGATTCAATCTTCAAAACGTTCCCCTATTTTGTCCGTATTTTTTTGTCTATTCCCCTTTTTACCATCAGAAGGAGGAAAAATTCGAATTGCTTCACAGGGGGGTGGGGATTAGCAGAGGGGGTCGGGTACTCGAAGAGCACTGGAGGACCTCTTGTCTTCGACGCCGTCTACTCTTCCTCTACTTCCTCGTTCATTCGACGCACACCCACACCATCCCTTTTCCGTTCTCTTTTTTTACCTCTGCCTCTCCCTTGTCCTGTCTAGTATGAAACTGTCTTCACACATCCAGGAGAGTTTAGGCCCCTCATGAACGCCCGTAATCTGTATTTTTTTATTGAAAGGAGTAGAATTTTTTCTTTGTGTATTTTTCTTCTCTGTAAAGTTGCGAATGAATCATGGATCATTTCGATTTTAAGTTCCGTTAAAGTTCTGGAATTTCCTCGTGGTGGTGAGATGAGGATGGAATAATGCCCCTCGCACTTCTGAAGGCTGGAGGAAGAAGAAAGAGGAGGGAAGAAAAAAAAAGGTTTATCGATCCGTCGGCTGGTCCGGGACATCGGCGTGCACGCCACCACGAAATCGTGGAAGGCTCCTTTGGTGCCTCAGGCGCGCGCTATTCCCCGCCATCCTATAAACTTGGTTATAGCTTTTTTGGAGTTAATAGGTAGAATTTGACAAATTTCCTTCGACTGGACAAGGATTAGGTCTTGGGTTTTAGGAAGAAACTCTTGAGATGATTCTTCATTAGACTTTCGGTTTTATTTCATGATATGGGAATGAAGAACCGGTTTGAGATTTTGGCGCCACATTATTTATTTATTTATTTTTTAATCGTAAATGAAATCACTGAGCGATCCTCGAGGGGTCCGACTTCACCTCGAAGATCGCCCAACAAGCCAAGCGATACAAACTTTTCCTAACTGCTCTACAATACTGCTCCCTCTAACCAGAGGATGAGCTCTACTGCAGCCCAGACTCATGGTGCCTAACTAGACGGAGGGATCCAAGGATGAGAGCCTTCTACATTTGATCAGCTAATATGAAAGCATTACGCCTACAGACCGGGATGGTTTCGACCGCTTCCTTAGCTGTTATGTTACTATCATTATTATTATTTATTTTTATTCGTAAATGAGATCGCTGTCCGATCCTCGAGGGCTCCGACTTCACCTTGAAGACCGCCCAACAAACTAAGCGATACAAACTTCTCCTAATTGCTATGCAATAGTGCTCTCTCTGACTAGAGGGTGAGCTCTACTGCAGTCCAGAATCATGCTGCCTAAGTAGACGAAGGGACCCAAGGATGACAGCCTTCTGCAT